ATTTGTGCAATGATAACCTACCAGCAATGTCAATTATTTTTTAAATATATCAGAATGAGTACATTACAATATACATTTATTAGAACAAGTACATTATTATTTATGGACTTAAAAACAAGATGCAAACAATCAGAATATTGTACCTGGTGGGGAGTGCACAATGTAAACATGAAACATATGCAATTACCTATATTGTACTGTGGTACAGTTCTGGAGGCCCTTCATAATGCAGAGGTCAACTGCCTGCTCTGCCAATAGTTAGAAATGGCACTATAGTATGCAGTGTTTAATAAACAGCTGTTTTACTAAATTCTGCTGAGGTGAAATTCAGTGCAGTCATGTATCGTGATATGTATCGCATCGTGGCATCTGTATCGTGATACGTATCGTATCGTAACTTTGCTGGTGATACACAGCCCTAATTTTAATACAGGGTGACAAATTAATAATATATAATTCATTTCCTTGTTTACAACCTTGCTTCATTTCAGAATGAATCAACATTTTTTTTAATGAATGGACGTTTTTTTTTTAATTACCTTAGCTTTGAAATTAAGCTGAAATTATAAAAATATAAATATTAGATGGGAAACCTAGAAAAATACATCAACAACTTGAAATTAGAAAATATAGAAAATTAGAAATGTTGCCTTGATAACTGATATAAACAAGTTTAAAATTACTAAAAGTGAAAAACTACAAGAAATGAGAAAACACTAAAATTACTTAACTATTATTAAAATTTTTAATTAGTATTAAAATTGACTAGTGTTGATATTAACTAAAACTATTAAAGGGGTCATTGGATGCCCATTTTCCACAAGTTGATATGATTCTTTAGGGTCTTAATGAAAAGTCTGTAACATAGTTTGGTTAAAATTTATCAATGGTAGTGTAAGAGTTAAAAATTCAACAATTTTATTTTTGTGCCTGTTGTTATGAGGACTTTTATTATGATTGGGTGGAAGGTGGAAAGAAGAGAGGAGGATGTAAATAGAGAATAAAGTGGGGAAAAAGAGCTCATCAGTATTCAAGGGTTTTATTTGTCTAAACATTCAGTTTAAGCCCCGAAAACACCCACAAGCGCTTAAGCAAGCGTTACAGTAGTGTAAAACAACACCCTTTTTACCCTGTCAAAAACAGCTCTGTCTACAGCAAACCGCTTTATTGCATGTTCCTTTAAATGCAAATGAGCTCTGCTGACCCCGTGTCCCATCAGGTAATGAAAAGTGGTACACACACGTGTGGTCTTCATCCTCACCAAATACAGGAAATACGTCATAGAAGTAGTCAAGTGATCAAGTGCAAAGACTGCAAGTGTGGGTATTTGGACAAGGCATCTGAGAGACTGTTTACTTTAGCCGCATTCATCGTGAAACTGGCTAATTAGCACATTATTAGGAAAGGCAATTTGCAAAGATTCATTAAAAAAAACCTTATACTCCTTCTGTAGGTGAAGCTGGATCACGAATTATTTGCGCGAACATAGTTTATTGGTGCAAATGAGTAGTGGCGATAATTATTTTGTACAACATTTGCAACTGCTTTTTATCACTTAATTATAAGCACCACAAAATTAAATTGTCATTTGTTATAGGG